AAAAGGAAAAAAAAACAGAAGCCGGACGTGGCCTAGGGAATAGATGGAAACCCCTCGGATCGCGATGAGGCAAGCTCGTTCTGTTAGCGCAAAATGCTCGAACAGTGACTATGGGGCTCGCTCAGCCTCGCTGCACTGCTCTCGACATGCATGCACAAAAGACAAAAATCATTGCCGTGTATCTTTCCATATTCTAGCTAAAGATTCACCCTCGTTTTGCACATTTCAGGAGTAGTGCAGCCGCTGCAGCGAGGCCCTAATGGTATCTTTGAGCAAAGTGGGAGAGAATCGCCGCCGGGAAGGAAACGAAGGTAAAATGCGGAAAACGAAAGAAAAAGAATCGCCGCCAGATCCAGCCACGAAGAAGGCATCCTGATATTTCCAAAAAAAAAAAAAAAAAAGAAGGCATCTTGCGTGTAATCAATCACTCACGATCGCAATTGGCCGCCCTAAGAGTCCAGAGCCAGGCCCAGTAGACGCTTTATCTACTACAGTTAGCGCTCACCTGATCGAAATGGAAGCCAAGTTCACTCCGACTTGCCTGCAGTCAGTTTCCACATAAGATACCACCAGCCTGGCCCAGAGACGCGCTATAAGCCTATAACCCCAGCTGCTGTGTATGTGTGTGTGTGTGTGTGTGTCACAGTGTGTCTGTGTGCGGTTTTCGTGTGCGTGTGCGCGTGTTGTCATGTTCTCATCCCTTTTTTTTTTCTTTCTTTTTTTTTTTTTTTTTTTTTTTTGTTATGCCCAAGGCTTACGACGATGTAAGGGAAAAAAAAAACAACTGCAGATCGCGAGGTCCGGCAGCTTCCTGCTTCTCGAAAAACTCGAAAAATTGTGGACCACTTTCTCGGTTCATGTGTGTCATCCTTGCGTATGCGTGCGTTGTCATCTGCCGTATACAGGGTCCAAGTCCCACGAGCAGCGTTGAGTTTCCTTAACGCCTGAATCTGGACGTGTTTTGGGTAGAGGGTGCAGAAGTCGCGTTGAGTTTCCTCAACTGCACATCTCCGCAAACAAGTCCAGGTTCAGGCGTTGAGGAAACTCAACGTTGCTAATACGACTTGGCCCCAGAACTCGCCAAATGTATGCCGGCGTAGGTACCGTGCACGCCCGCCTCTCTCTATAGGCCTGCGGTTTTTTTTTTTTTTTTTTTTTTTTTTTTTTTTTTTTTCAAGATGGGCGACGACCTTGAGATATCATCATTGGGCTGATATCTACCTGACCGGCCCCAGGCAGGCAATTCGGAATCGGAATGATTTTATTCTCTACATCTGAGGGCATCTAGATTCGAACGTGGGTCTGTATTTCAACAGTTCAGGGGTGTACCAACTGAGGTTGGCCCGTTGGTCTATAGACTTGTTTTCTCGCTCCCTCTTTAGCTGAGTCGTGTGCACTGTTGCTATGGATCTCACAGAGCGCACACGGCCGCCATCTCGGTCAGGTGCATGCTAACTGTTGCTGTGGATCTGTCGGAGTCTCAATAGCCAATGGTTGCTGAGTCGTTGGTAGCATGAGTGAACATAGCTTGAGAAAAAGGAAAACAACAAAAGGGAGAAGAAGGAAGAATGAATGAAGATAGGTGACGGAGATGAAGTGAAGGGATTTCGTGAATAGCCGTGGTGGGGCCCGACTTCGCCGGGCGTAAATTTATTACCTTTTTTGTGAATTGTTTTTTTTTTTTTTTTTTTTTTTTTTTTTTTTTCCTGGGTGNTTTTTTTTTTTTTTTTTTTTTCCTGGGTGATTTTTTGTGTAAGATTTATTTATTTATTTATTTATTATTCTATATTTTTTTCCGAAGTTTGTCCGCCCGGGCGGCGGATCCTTCGTTGTCTTTGTTTTGTCTTTTCGAGTTGGCGATCGAAGCCGAGCATGCTCTGAGTTCACACGTATACCCTTGGTTCGAGCCCCGGGGCTAGGTCCCACTTGCACGAATTAAGAGATACTGACCGTAGATCGCAAAGATCAACGGCCGAAATCTCCTAATTTGCCCAAGTGAGACCTTGCCCCCGGTTTGAATCTGATTCAGATGAATTTAATTTAATTTATTAACTCTGAGTTTCCTGGCGCGCATCTGGGATGCGGGCAACGAGACTACCTCCCTCCGGCGGGGCCGGCCTTCAAAAAAAAAACAAAAGGAGAACCGGAACCCCGCCCCCCCCCCACCCCACAAAACAGGTTTTTCGAGCGCGATTTGGCTGGGCTTTCCTAAACAGAGCATAGGTGGGAGAGGATGGCAGAAGCGGTCTTCGTTGTCGTTGGCGGGGAAAGTGGCAACAGGTACAGGGGAGAGGGCGCGGTGTCGGAGCGGCGGACGGGCGTCACGGCACGGGAAGGGACGACCAGGCAGCCACGACGACACGGGGCGGGGGGGGGTGCAAATTATTATAGGCGGAGTATTATTTTCAACGACAAGTGAAGTAGTGATATAATTTATTATATATAAATAAAATCGAAGTAAAAGAATTAATTGTGAGGAATTGGGCGGAGAGATACAGCATGATGGAAATAATGTCGTGGCGAATTCGGCGGGGTTTCGTGCTGGTTGTCTCGAGAGTGTTCAGTCCACCGTTAGGAGTCCGACGTGGGCGGGAATCATTTCCGCGGGGTTGGGCAAATCCGAGTGCAACAGGGAAAGCGACGGCAAGGGAAGGGGGAGGAGGGGGAGGAGGAGGAGGAGGCGGTGACCCGTGTTGCTGGGGCTGTGGGCAGGGGCGGGAGTCGGGTCGAGGAAATGGGACGATCATGGAAGTTGCCGATGGGTTGTTGCTGCCTCCGCCGCTGCTGCTGCTGCTGGGTGGAATAGAGAGAGAGACACAGAGAGAGAGAGAGAGAGAGAGAGAGAGAGAGAGAGAGAGAGAGAGAGAGAGAGAGAGAGAGAGAGAGATTTGGGAGTTTATTTGCGCTTTTTTTTGCCATTGTTTTTTTGGTTGCCAGTCGGCGGTGATGGCCGGCTGATGCTGGCGTTGGTTACTACCTAGCTGACGAGTCCCGCAGTGCTGCCCGTAGCTCATTTTGGTCCTGCTCCTGTTCCATATCGCGTGCACTCCCTCCTCCTCCTCCTCCTCCATCTCTACTTCTCCACGTGTTCTTCCACCCTTACCTGTTCCTCTCCGTCCTCCACGATCATACTTGTCTATTGCGTCTGCTTGATCGCGCGTGCGCGCGTAACGTAAGGCAAGGCCAGGTGTTGGGCTGCCACCAATCTGCAGCAGCATTCATCTCTCTCTTTTTGTCCTCTCCCTTCCTCCCTCCCTCCCTCCCTCTCTTCTCCCGCTTCCCCACCCCCTTCCGCTTTCTATCCCGTTTGCCTTTGTCGTCCGCCCCTCTCGTTTGTTCATTTTCCCTTCGCTCGCCTAGTTCGTGTTTGGAGAGAGAGACACACACACACAAACACACACACACACACACACACACACACACACACACACACACACACACACACACACACACACACACACACACAGAGAGAGAGANAGAGAGAGAGAGAGAGAGAGAGAGAGAGAGAGAGAGAGAGAGAGAGAGAGAGAGAGAGAGAGAGAGGGGAAGGGGGGGCGTTTGGTTGTATGCTATGGATCCGCTGGGGGGGGTGGGTTATCTGGTCGGAGAGATGAGGTCTGGGTTCACCTTGCGCACCTCGGCCTCACTGCGCAGCACGTCATGCCGGCCTCGAATCACGGTGAGGTTTAAGATACCCTACCTCACAGTATGGGGCCAGAGTCTCATTATTATTGGCAGAGGGCCGTTATTTGGGGAATGGGACGCTCAGCGGGGCATTAGTATGGATCCACGCCACGAGGGTGACGAGCTGATGTGGCATGCGCACGTGGAAATAGATGAAGGAGCGGAAACGTACTTCGAATACAGCTACTGTGTCATCGATGAAGAAAGGAATGTTCTCAGGAAGGAAGTCGTAGGACCAAGGCGATTGCGGTTGCCCCGGGGCCTTCCCGATAGTGCCTCCTGCGAGGTTATGGATTATTGGCAGGTGAGTCCTCCTCGAACGAAGATCTACACACTCTTCCACACACTTTGCACACAGTTTCTGCGTGGTCCATCGGGATCACACACACTTTATGCACACCTAGACACTTTATACACTCTTTATACACACTTACTTATACACGCACACAATACACACACACACACACACGCACACACAAACACACACAATACACATACAATACACATACAAACACATACAGAAAGACAGACAAGGACAGACATAAGCGCGTATTGCAGGGTTTGTGTGAGGTAAAGTCGACCGCTTTTCTTGAGGTCATCGCTGACTCTGGGGAGGGTAGTGAGAGTCCTTATCCATCAGTCAAATGCATCCTGCGCAGACTGTCTGTCCAGGTTCAACCTCCTGACGAGTCGGTGAAACTCGTCAAAACAACTGTCGCAGTCACTCTTCTTTGGTGGATTTGTCATTAGCGAACACAGAAGACACAGACACACTTTTTCACACACGCACACACACACACACACACACACGTATACACACACGTATACACACACAGACGCACACACTCGCACAAATACATCCGAACATACATACACTTGCATACAATATCTTCATATGTTGCTGCACATCTACCCGTACAGACTATAATAGCTATACATAGATAAATCTATTCACATATGTACATCCGTATACACATACGGTCATAATTACATACACACATAATACATACAAGTACATACATGCATACATACATGCCTACATACATGCCTACATACATACATACATACATACATACATACATGCATACATACATGAAGATATGCACTTTACATAGTACATACACAACGGGAAGGGTTATATCTATGGACAGATAGTTAGATTGCTAGATAGGTATTGTGCATGTGGATGAACTGATATGTAGATGCAGGCAAGTATAAGAATAGCGGGGGAAAAGACACATTGCGGCGGGTGTTTTATGTCCCCTGACTCCCCTTTATTGTCGTTGTTGCCCTCGGTCTGTTCGTCTCTGCGCGGTCGGTTCCTTCCCACTCGCTTCCTGCCTCTCTGTTCCTGCCTCTCTCTTCTCTTGCGGCTGCCTCTCTATCATCCCTTCCTCGTGTGAATCCACGGTGATTTTGTGCGTTCTCAACTCCCATCATCATCACGTTCAATCTTGTGCTCTCTTTCTCTGAATCTGATTTTGGCTGTGTTTTTTGCCATTTCTCTTTCACACTGTCTCGCTCTGTCTCTCTCGCTCAATCTCTCCCTCCCTCACCCTATCTCTCTAACTCTCTCGTAACTTCTCTCTCGTTCTCTCTCACTCATTCTGTTTCTCTCTCGCTGTCTCAAGCTGTCTCACTCCCTCTCTCTCTCCCTCTCCCTCTCCCTCTCCCTCTCCCTCTCCCTCTCCCTCTCCCTCACTCTCTCATTCTCTCTCTCGCTTGCTCTCTCTTCGGATCTCTTTGACTCTCTCTTTCTCTCTTTCTCTCTCTCAACCCCCCCCTCTCTCTCTGTCTGTCTGTCTGACAGTGTCTGTCTGTCTGTCTGTCTGTCTGTCTGTCTGTCTGTCTGTCTGTCTGTCTCTCTCTCTCTCTCTCTCTCTCTCTCTCTCTCTCTCTCTCTCTCTCTCTTAAGAACATTTGTTCCATCTCGTTTCACGGGGCATCAACGTCAACAGCGCGTCATGATGAATGGTTTCAGTGCGAATATCTGCTCCTTACGTCGAACAGCTCACCAGCGAACACAGCGCAGAGGAATCGCGGCTGTATATGGTACCAGAATGGGTACAAATACAGGATCACCGAGCGGACCAGGCGGTCTGCTAGGAGGGGGAGCGGGGGGAGGACGCGTTTAGATCGATTGATGAGCCCGAAGATGCACAGAGAGTGTGCCAATTAACAGGCTGATGGATAGATGGACGAATGCAGCAAGCAATGGGCTGGAATTGGCGGTATGCACGTAAAGCTTTCTGAATTTGTAGTCTATGTGAATTTGGAGTAGAGCTGTGATGACGGTTGATAGATGAGTGCATTGTTGGGTTGCGCGGATCTGTACCACGATCTATTCGACAAATTGATAGATTTGAAGAGTCTGACTAGATTGAGACATGATTGCCAATCGAGACAGATTGGCAGGAGAGATTAAACGGCAAGGAGATAAACAGATTGACATCTTGACATATTCGGAGATTGTAAAAGCGAGAGTTTGAGGTCGAGATTGTGTGCGTGTGGGTGCGTGTGTGTGTGTGTGTGTGTGTGTGTGTGTGTGTGTGTGTGTGTGTGTGTGT